TGAATGAATTGTGATATAATAATTTCATTTAAGAGGAATTTAAACCATTTGGATTGGAATAGGAAGATTCTTCGATAAATATACGTATACTTAGGTTTTATTGCATAAAAATTAAAGATAGTACCATTTGGATTAAGTAAATAATAAAAGGAGGATTAAAATGGTAAAATTTAATTTGGCGCCAGTTGTTGATATCAAATCATTTATACAAATGATACATATCATTAGTTCTACTAAACAGCAAACGTGATTAGTTATCAGTTTCTCGGCCGATTAAGTAATTGACGTTGGTGAAGCTAGCCCAAATGGTGATTCATTACGAGAAGCATCATTTGGGCCAGTTTCACCAACGCTTAGCGCTTTTTTTACCTTTTTTTTAAAAAGGTATACTGTATGTATTGACAATTTTTCCTTAACTTATTTGTTAAATATTGAAAGAAAAAAAAACTTTTGATTTATTATTACCGTATAAATTATAAAAGGTCGTCGATGCACCACAGCACAGTCATCACCAATTACATATATCATCAGATTTAGTAAATTTTGTGATATAATGATTGTCATGAATTAATTTTTGGAGGGGAATAAAGCCATTATAACTTGGGTTGGAATGTATCATATACAAAGAATTTCATCAAACAGCAAACGCAATTAGTCATCAGCTCCACGGCCGATTACCATAAGTAATGACGTTGGTGAAACCGGCCCAAATGGTGGTTTCCACACGAGAAGCACGCACGCTTAGCGCTTTCTTTATCATTTTTTAAAAAGGTAAATTTGTATACGATTAAAGTTACTATTACTTAATTAAAAAATCCCACCACCACTACCACCATCGTCTTACAATAATAAAATTTAACTTGATAGAATTTATAAAATATTTGGGTTTTATTTTTTATTTTGAATTAGTAGAATTTAACTTGGCACCAGTTTTTGATATCATATCAAGACAATGGTCTTCTATATTTTGTATACGTTGTGCATAAATTTTCTTTGCTGAATATATGCAAATATTGCAGGGAATATATAAATTATACCTTTTTTGTATAACTCTGGTTCAACGTTCTGTTGTTGTACGACCTTCCAAATTCGTGATCCGACACTGAACGATAACATTTGTCATTATCTCACGATATTCGGCTATTTTTTGTATACTAGTGTTACGTCCAAACTCTTGGAAATTTTTTGATTGTTTGTGATCCTCTCGGAGAATAAAAGGAGCGGGAACGGTGAGGGTACTTGGAAGGACGGTCAGACTCTTTTCTCGCTGGTACCCGCACGGAGGCGAGTGCCGCAAATCGAACGCACCTCTTTTGTGCTCGCTTCGGAATATGGGTCAACGTCCCGTAAGGACGCTTTAAGGGGGTACTCTACTCTAAAACACGCTTTTTTCGGGATTTTTTTACAAGAAACTAGTGAAAATTGTTAATATCAGCTTTTTATGTATATATTTTATTATGTTTAGAGAACATAAAAAATATTTTTTAAAGCTAAATTAATGAATATAAATATTAATTAAACCCTATCGAATACATGGTAAAAAAAAA